TTGGCACCCGGGGTGACACAGAACTCAGCAGGAGACTTCCAAATAGCATGGAAACAAAGCATACATATTAAAAAAAAAAAAACCACCAGAAAGTAGAAAGTCATCGGAGGTGGTGAGGCCCGCAAACAGAGGCTCTGATGGCGGTGGTGGCTTGTCCGGGGACCTGCGCACCATGTACCTACCTCCTTCCGCAAGTGAGGAAACAGGTCAAGAGGGAGGTCTGGAGCCCAAGTCATGACAATAACAACAGCAGCCATAATTACGGTCATGATGACGCTTCTTAAATGCTCGCTGTGTACCCAAGACCATGCTAAGTATATCTGAGCCCCACATTAGCCCTGCAAAGTGGATAGATACTATTATTATCCCCATTTTACAGATCAGGAAACTAAGGCCAGAGGCAGCCCAGTGTCACACGTAAACTATGCAGACCTAGGATTTGAACCCAAGCAATCTGGCTCCGGAACCAGCTTTCCACTCCTATTATCCGTCACCAACACCATCAGTTCTGAGCGTGTGATGACCTGCTGGGCCCTACATACAACCTCACTCCTCCTCATAGCACAACTAGAAGACAGGAATCCAGATCCCTCTTTCCAGGTGAAGAAATGGAAGTGCAGAGAAATTTAGTAAACTGCTCAAAATCACAGCAGCTGACAGGAAGCAGCTCTAGGATTCGAACTCAGGACTTTCAGACACCAGCACATGTTCCCCTAACCACTCTCAAAGGACAGCTGGGGTGACCTCCCCAACCTGGGCGGGAAGAAACCAAGGGCGGGAAGGCTGCCTCAGCTGAGCCACCAAACACACTCTACATCGAAAGCCACGGCACAGCGAGTCAGGTGACACCAGATCCCAGGCAGGCGCCTGTCTGGCCTGGACCCCAGGGCCGGCTGTGCCTCCACATGGCCCTTTCACTGCAGCACCCCGCAGCCAGCACCGCCTGCGAGTTCCCTCCAGCCAAGCCATGTCACTCACCACAATGGGACCACTCTTCCTGTCCTTGCAGAAGCTGTGGCTTCTCCAGGGGCCCGAGGCTACAGGGGACAGTTGCCGGAGCGGGGACTCATTGTTCTGGAAGCCACCTTCCTTCTCCAGGTCCCGTGGCAGCACCTGAGATGCAGAGCACAAGGAAAGGACTTTACTGGGGACTCTCTCCTTTTTTTAAATTTTTTGAGTCGAGTCTCACTTTCTTGCCCAGGCTGGAGTGCAGTGGCATGATCACAGCTCACTGTAGCCTTGATCTCCTGGGCTGAAGTGATCTTCCCACCTCAGCCTCTCAAGTAGCTGGGATGTGTGCCATCATGCCGAGGTGATTTTTTTTTGGTAGAGATGACATCTTGCTATGTTGCCCAGGCTAGTCTTGAACTTCTGGGCTCAAGCAGCCCTCCCACTTCAGCCTCCCAAAGTGCTGGGATTACAAGTATGAGCCACCCACGCCCAGCCTGGCTTTATCATTTACAGGAAAAAATATGTAACACCAAGAGAGTCCACTCTGTACCAAAAAGGGCAAAGAAGAAAACTGACCCATCAGAAGTTCTTCTACCTTAATGACCAGAGGTGACATGTAGGGGTTCAAGTGGTCCTGCCTCAGCTGCTTAGTAAGTGTGTGACCTCAGGTGAATGTCTCAACCTCTCTGAGCCTCAACCATCTGGGAAAGGAAGGATGAGGAGAACATCCAGCTTCTGGAGTCTAAGGGACAGCAAATGGAAAGTGCATACACAATATGACCACCAGGGGGCAGACATACAGGAGGAGTCCTGGGAGGTGAACTTGGCTACCCATCTCCACCACCCTGGCATGTGGGGAGCGCTTCAGAAATGTTAGCCACTGCCAGGCGTGGTGGTGCATGCCTGTAGTCCTGGCACTCTGGGAGGCTGAGGGAGACGACTGTTTGAGGCCAAGTGTTCAAGACCAGCCTGAGCACACAGTAAGACTCTGTAGAAAAAGAAAAATTAAAAAATTAGCCAGGGGCTGGGAAGTGGTGACTCATGTCTGTAATCCCAGCACTTTGGGAAGCTGAGGCAGGTAGATTCCTTGAGACCAGGAGTTCAAGACCAGCCTGGACAATATAGCAAGACCTCATCTCTACAAAAAAAAAATCAGAAAACTAGCTGGGTGTGGTGGCACACGCCGTAGTCCTAGCTACTTGGGAGGCTGAAGTGAAAGGATCGTCTGGCCCCAGGAGGTTGAGGCTGCTGTGAGCCGTAATCATCACAATCATGGTACTGTACTCCAGTTTAGGTGACAGAGTGAGATTTTGACTCAAAAAAAAAAAAAAAAAAGCTAGGTGTGGTGGTGGGCACTTGTAGTCCTAGCTACTTGGGAGGTTGAGGCAGGAGGATTGCTTGAGCCCAGGGAGCTGCAGTGAGTTATGATCACACCACTGTACTCCCATCTAGGCAACAGAGCAAGACCCCGTCTCTAAAAAAGTTAATAATAATGAAAATTTTAAAAGAAATGCTAGCCACTCTCATTCCTGCCAAGGGTGAGTCCTGGAAACCTTATTTTAATCATTTTTCCATGCATCCAAACACACACGTGCAGATGCACAGATACGGCAGATGACTAGGGTGGGACGCCTCGCACATCTAGTCCGAATTCCGCCCTTTTTCCTCTTGGTTATGGGGGGAGAGATATTCACAGGCTGGTAAATGCAGACTCCAGAATGTGTATTTCACATGCCTCACACTCCCTGTACAGAAGAGGTGAGGGAGGTCCCTGCTGAAGCACACACAGCATCAGGGGGAGCAAGGCTGGACTCCGATCCTTCCCTCATGGCCTTCCTTCTGGAGGCCTTGGGAGACCCTCTTGGCTTTCCTCCTCCGGCCCTGGTGGTTCCTCTTCAGCTTCCCCATGGGCCCCAGGCCAACCAAAGAGCCTTCTGCTTCCTGCTGCTGGATCACTGGCTCTGGGGTCCCTCTTCATGGCCCTCGGGGCTTTAAAGAAACCCCATCCACACCCTGATGACTGCCAGGTCCATCTTGGCACTGGGACCCCAGATGTGTAGATGCCACTGCCCAGGCAGTTACTTGCACCCCTCAGACCCAAGTGCTGGGATAGGCCTCTCGACTTCTGCTCTCCCAGGCCGCTCCTCCAATCCTGCCCAAGACCCTCGGATTGCCCTCCCTTCTCCCAGTCTCTCCATCAGAGCAACAAAGGTGAGAAGCCAGCAATCCCACTCTAGGTACATATCCAAAAAAAAAAGAAAAGAAAAGAAAAAATATGTCCACGTGAGAACATGTCCATGAATGTTGTTAGCAGCATTATTCCTAACAGTCAAAAGTGGAAATGGCCGATGAATGGACAGATAAAATGTCACCTACCCACGTGACGGAATATTATTCAGCAACAAAAAAAGGAGTCCCATCCTGATACCGTATGGATGAACCTTGAAGACGTGCTCCATGAAAGAAGCCAGTCACAAAGGCCCACACACTCCACTGGGACTCCGTTTACATGAAACACCCAGAACCAGCAGACCCAGAGACAGAAAGGAGACTACTTGTTGCACAGGCCCAGAGGGCAAAGGGCAAAGCGGAGTGACTGCTTGATGGGCACGGGGTTTTCTGGGGGGTGTTAAAGGTGTCATAAAGTTGAGAGTGATGATGATTACACACCTGTGTGACTGCAGCGAAAGCCATGAATGGCACTTGTTAAACGGGCAAGTTGTATGGGTTATGAATTGTATCTCAATAAAGCTGTCGGCAAAAAAGAAAAACAAAAATGCCACCAACCCCTCCAGTCCTCTCTACCTCCACGGTCACCACCCTTCTCTGAGGACCCTGGCAGCCTCCATGCTGGCCTCCCTGCCTTCACACTCGCCCCCTTGGTCCACATGGAGAGCAGCTGATGGGGGTGGTTTTCTAGGACACATGTGGTGGCAGCAGTGCTCAGAGCCCTTCAGTGGCTCCCAGGTGCCCTCAGTAGGGCCTTACCCCTGGGCACCACCCACATCTGTCTCAGCTGGGCCCCACCCCTGTGCCTGGGTAACCACAGGATAAGCTCGTGCCCTGCTTCACTTGCTGCTCCCACCTCCTGGGCCTGGCTAGGTCCCTTCCATCAGGTCCTTCTGCGTAAGAGCCCTTCTCTGACCTCTTCACGCCCCTCTTCTCTCCCCCCAGGACCTGTGGCACCCTCCAAGTGAATGGCCTTACCCTCTCACTGCCCGGAGGCCTGCGTGCCCCTCCAGACCAGTGCTGTCCCCTATGATGGTCTGCAGTAGATAGAGATGTTCTGTGTCTGGACGCCCCACTCAGTCGCCACAAGGTGCATGTGGCTCTGGGGCACTTAACTGTGGCCCAGGTTGGTCTCCAACTTCTGGGCTCAAGGGATCCTCTTGCCTTGGCCTTTCTAAGTGCTGGGATTACTGGCGTAAGCAGCTGCGCTCAGCCTCAATTTTTAATCCTATTCAATTTTAGCTAATTTAAAGTCACATAACCATAGGTGGCTAGTGGTTGCCACACAGTCTATGACAATGGGCAGGGCTGTGTCTAGGTCCCTCCCAGCAGCCTCAGCAGAGCCTAGAACAGGGCCTGGCATGGGTTTAAACACATTTTTTAAATGTCTTAAACAAATGGAGGTCTGAGGTTGATCCCAATGCTTCCCTGCGATTTCTTCTAGTCTTGGCACCAGCCCCAGGTCAGGGTTGCAACCATACATTATATCATGATAAATCTCTGACGAGTCCTTGAAGAAGACAAGAGCCCCATCTCACAGATGAGGAAACTGAGGCTCAGAGAGATCTAGGGAGGGGCCTAAAGTCACACACTCCAGGATTTAATCCCAGGTCTGTCCAATATGTAGACCAGGCTGTTTCCAAGGAGAAACCCAACTATACAAGGACAAAAGGTTCACCTCCTTATAAAAATCTCCAAGAAATCAATAAGGACCAAGATCCCCCTAAAAAAGCAGGTAGAGCATAAACACATGGGTTACAGGAAGGAAACACAGATGGCCTCACATGCCTAGCAAGATGCCACCAACTCTCAGATCAGGAGGGCAAACTCAGCCACAATGAGAGGACAGGGCCACCCATGGGGGGGGTGAGACACCCAGAATACAGCAGGGTGGGGTGGAGGAGAACAGGCCCTCGAGCTCACGGTGGGCGGGAAGCAGCAGACACAGCTCCGTGGCAGGGCACGCAGCCACAGTCCTGCAGGACCACAACCACGTGCCCCTTTTGACAGGCGACTGCCACACCAGATCCAAAGACACACCTGTAACTGTGCACACTCACATGTGTACGGGGCTTGTAGCAGCAACAGACCAGGAATGTGATCCACAGGGGAAGGTTCAGAAACCTATGCTACAAAAAGAACTCTCTTGATGAGTCTCAAAAGTATTTAAAATTAGCTTCATTATTTCTGACCATTAAAACTTTACTTTTAATTGGGGGGTAAAACCAGCCACAAAGGTTGGGCGTAGTGGCTCATGCCAATAATCCCGGCACTCTGGGAGGTGGAGGCGAAAGGATTGTCTGAGTCCAGGGGTTTGAGACTAGCCTGGGCAACTGGGCAATATTTCGTCTCTACAAAAATATTTTTCAAAATTAGCCATGTGTGGTGGTGCATGCCTGTAGTTCCAGCTGCTTGGAAGACTGAGGTGAAAGGACTGCCTGAGCACAGCAGGTTGAGGTTGCAGTGGCTGGGAGCAGCCACTGCACTCCAATCTGGGCGACAGAGTGAGACACCAACTCAAAAAAAACAAACAAACAAAAACAAAAAAAGGAAAGGAAAAGAGAACCAGGACGCTCTCTGTGGGCTGAATCCCAAAACTCTGTAAGATGCACTGTGTGAAAACAGGCAAGTAGAAAATTCAGGGGTTCACTCAACAGAGCTCCTCACCCCAGTAGTCTCCTGGGGAACTTTCAAAGTTCCTAAAGGCAGGCCTCAGCCCCAGAGAGCCTGACCTTGTGGGCCTGGGGGGAGGCCCTGGCACTGGGGCGCTTCAGGATTCCCTGTGTTACTGCCACTTGCAGCCAAAGTTGCCACCGCTTGTAGGAAATGCTCTTTTATGGCGAGGGCGGCAAAAGGAAGAATGTGTATTCATATTTACTTGAATTTTCAGGAAGGAACCTCAAAAAACTCTAAATAAAAGTGACTATGGAAAGGAGGAAGGTGAAGATGGTATACTCCATGCCTTTAAATATTTTAGGAGCCTTGTGAAATCTCCTTTTAAAACTAAAGTAAGTAATTTAAATAAGTGAAATACTGGCTGGTTATGGTGGCTCACTCCTGTAATCTCAGCACTTTGGGAGGCCGAGGTGGATGGATTGCTTGAGTCCAGGAATTCAAGACTAACCTGGGTAACATAGCAAGACCTCATCTCTACACAAAAAAATTTTTTTCCCCTGAGTTGGAGTCTCAGTCCGTCACCCAGGCTGGAATGCAGTGGCACGCTCACGGATCCCAGCGTCGACCTGCTGCTGTGCTCTGGAGATCCTTCCACCTCAGCCTTCCAAGTAGCCGGAACTACAGGCACGTGCTACCAAGCCCAGCTAACTTTTTGATATATCATACAAACGAGGGCTCACCAAGTTGCCCGGGCTGGTCTCGAACCCGTAGGCTCAGGCAATCCCCTCACCTTGGCCTCCCAAAGTGCTGGGATGACAGGCTTGAGCCACCACGTCTGGCCAAAAAAATTTTTTTAATTAGCCAAACGTGGTGGCGAGCACCTGTAGTCCCAGCTACTTGGGAGGCTGAAGTGGAAGGACTGCCTAAGTCCAGGAGATTGAGGCTGCCACGAGCAATAATAATCGTGATCATGCCACTGTACTCCAGCCTGGGCAACAGAGTGAGATCCTGACTCTAAATACATACATACATACATACATACATACATACATACTATAATTGGGTCTAGAACAAATTTTCAGTACATATTTGTTAAGTGAAAAAGAAAGGAAAGAAGAGAGAGAGAGAGAGGGAGGGGAGGAGGGAAAGATTGCTTCAATGACAAACATGCCCTTTTGGGGGTCCATGAATGGAACAGCTCTTAACCAAGAAACCCTCACCCCATATACCAAGATGCCACTGTAGTCCTGTTTCTAACACACAAAAATGCAGACCACCCCAAATATCCATCAACGAGGGTCTGGGCTCAGTCATATGATAAAATACTTTACAACTGTTGAAAAGAATAAGGTGATTGTGTATGCACAAGATGCATACAAAAGCAAGCTGCATGGTTTTCTGTAGGATGTTGCCATGTTCCTACAAAAACCACATGTATTTACCTAAATCTGTATGTGCATCTAGGTCAGAGTTCCTCAGCCTTGGAACAGTGGCCCTCTGGGGTTGGATCATTCTGGCGAGGGTTGCCCTGTGCACACAGGATGTTGAGTAGCCGCCTGGGCCTCTACCTGCTAGCTGCCAGTAGCAACCCCTGCCTAGGCCATGACCACAAAAAATGTCTCCAGACACTCACTGTCAAATGTGATGCAGGGGCAGAATTGCCCACGACTGAGGACCATGGACAGGCTTAGATGGCGTGTTCCCAATCCAGGCACCAGACTCATCATCTGGGGGAGATTTTTGTTGTAAGCCATATGGTTACATAATATCTTAAATTTTGCACAGGCATTCACCACAACTGCAGTAAGAAAAGTATGCTTGGTGGCTCAGCCTGTAATCCCGCGCCTTTGGGAGGCTGAGGTGAGTGGACTGCCTGAGCCCGCGGCTTCGAGACCCGCCCGGGCAACTTGGCGAGACCTCATCTCTACAATAAATCAAAAAATTAGCTGGGCGTGGTAGCGTGTGCCTCTAGTTCCGGCTACTCGGAAGGCTGAGGCGGAAGGATCGCCGGGGCTCAGCAGGTCGAGGCTGCGGTGGCCGGGAGCGGCCACTGCACTCCGGTCTGGGCGACTGAGTGAAACTCCAACTCAAACAAAAAAAAGAAAGAAAGAAAAGTATGCTAATTATAAATATATATGATTGATAGGTGACTGTGGAATGTAAATAAGTCCCAAAGGACATAAACAACTGTAACTAACAGTGGTTGCATCTGGGGAAATGTTCACCTTCTCTTTTCTTTTTCTCTTTTTTTGAAGTGGGGTCTCACTCTGTCTCCCGGGCTAGAGTGCAGTGGCATGAACACGATTCACCCCAGCTTCGACCTCCTGGGCTCAGGCGATCCTTCCACCTCAGCCTCCTGAGCAGCTGGGACTACAGGCATGCACCACCATGTTCAGCTAATTTTTAAATTTTTTTGCAGAGACAAAGTCTAGCTATGTTGCCCAGGCTGGGATTTTCTCCATCTCTGTAAGATTTGAATTTTTACCAACCAACATTTTATCCTTCTGTGTTGGTATGTTTTGTTTTTTTAAAGCTCAAGAGCCAGGATCTTGGGCAAGAGAGAAGAGAGAAATGGGAAGCCGCTCCAAGGCTTCCCAATCCCTTGGTGAGAAAACAGATCCCCTGACGACCAGCACTCCTTGGGCCTGCGTGCTCTGGGCAGGCTTCCAAGCCGGGCTGGGGGGCAGAACTGGGACCAGGCGCCCCCCTCCACAATGCCCAGCTCCCCCCCATCACCCTCCCTCACCCCCCCACCAACCAGCCCGAAGAAGGTGCTGGCAAACAGACAGAGTATCACATTTCCACGCCTCTCCCCTCCCCATTGTCCTACAGTAACAGGCCTTAGCAGGGACAGGGCAGTCTTTCCCAGGAAGCACATGGGCGGCCCACACTGGGTGCGCTGTCCCAGCCCAGAGCCCGCACAGTGCTTCAAGGCAGGAATTCCTGTGAATGCTGATATGGAAACTGAGGCTCAGAAGGGCCAAGGGCCTGCTTCACGCACAGCAGGCAAATGGCAGAATGAAGGTTCAGATGCCAAGTCTGCAGGATCCTGAACACAGTGGTTCGAGTGCTTAGCCTCTCAGGAGAGGACATGGGTTCGAAGCCCGACTCCACCACTTACCCACTATTTTTCCCTCCTCTACTCTGAAGGGACACACACTCTAAACCTCACACAAATCCTCATTTCGTGATCTTTACCAACGGTATCCTACTGTTTAATTTCTGTAACCTCCCTTTCCAGATTGGACCACTATTCTCTTTTTTAAATTTTTAAAAAAATTTTATTTATTTATTTGAGTCAGGGCCTGACTCTGTTACCCAGGCTGAAGTGCAGTGACACAATCAAGGCTCAGTATAGTCTCCACCACCCAGGCTCAGGTAACCTCCTGCCTTAGCCTCCCGAGTAGCGGGGACTACAGGCATGCCACCACACCGGCTAATTTTTTGATTTTTTGTAGAGACAAGGTCTCACTATGTGGTCCAGGCTGGCCTTGAACTCCTGGGTTCAAGCAATCCTCCCACCTCGGCCTCCCAAAGTGCTGGGATGACAGGCACGAGCCACTGTGCTCAATCTATGACTCTTTTACAGACGAAGAGACTCAGGCTCAGGAAGGGAAAGGGTCTGGCTTCCATTGCCTGGTCTGCAAGTTGCGGAGGCGGACCTGGACCAAGGTCTGCTGATGCCACGTTTCGTGTGGGGTGCAGAGGCAGCTCCCACGCAGCCCCAGAGCATGCCACGCCCCTTCCCACCTCCAGAACTAGGGACGTGCTGTGCCCTCCCACAAGCCCATCCAAATGCACGTCCGCCCCTCGAGGCTGGGTTCATGCCAGCGCCTCCTGCAGGACAGCTCGGCCTCGTCTCCAGTGCCTCCCTCTGCCTCCTATCATTTCCTGACCTTGGATTGCAAGGTCCCACCTCCCACAGAGATCAATAGCTTCCGAGGGTGGCCTCCATGCCTCAGATTCCTCCCCTGCCCTCAAGGTCTTCATTCCCGGCAGGTCAACTAGAAAGCGGCCCACTCCCTTCCAAGTATCAGTCAGATCTGGGCTCACATATGAGTATTGTCACTTGCTGCTGTGTGACGTAGGACACGACACTTCACCTCTCTGGGCCTCAGGTTTTTCCATCTAAGATGAGCCTACCTTCAGGTGACATTGTGAGCCCCCTGCTTCAACACTCCAGCACACGCCAGTGGCAAAGGTGTCGTCCTGGGTGAGGACTCTCTTTCCACCCGCCACTGAGCAGTGTGCCAGCCAGGCTGGAAGAGTCTGAGTGTTGATAACCCCAGAAACAGCCTTAGGTGAGGACAGAAGCACTTGGAAAACACATCCTCCAGGTCCCTTGCCCCCTGGACAGGCCAACTCCAAGCTTCCTCCCAGGAGGCCCCAGTGCAAGTCAGCCTTGGCTGCCCCCATGGCTCCTGCATCCCTTGACTCACTTATTCACTTACCTGCCAGTTCTTCCTGGGGTCATCTCCTAAAAGGATTTGCTTCTGTGGGAACCCAAACCATGAAAACCTCTCTGCTGAGGCTCTCCATCTGCTGCAATCCCCACCACTCCCTAGAGTCTCATACCTGATCTGACTCCACTCATCTGGCCCACATAAGATCTGAGTTTGAAACCCCTGACCTAGATGTTTAATCAAGATCTGATAAGATCACTCATTCAACAAATACTTCTTGAAGATCCACACAATGTCAAGCATGGTGTTGGATCCTGGGGATATAATTACATATATAGTTATATAGATAATATATAGATAATTTATATATACCATTTATATATGTGTGTGTGTGTGTGTGTGTGTGTGTGTATGCCACACTCTGGTATACTGCAGAAGCTCCATAAAGCTATCATTGATACCTATCATTATTCTCATTCTAGGCCAGACATGGAAAATGTGTAGCAAACCAGCAGTCCTATTTAGACTGAACAGGCTTTTAAAAAATATGCTGTCTTCATTTCCTAATGGTGGGATTACACATAAAAATCTGTCTTTTCAGTGTCTTGCTAAATGAGGTTTGCCATCTCAGGGCCACCACTCTCATGTGTCAAGGACTGGCTGGACCCAAGCAGCAGTTACCTCTAGGGCATGAGTTTTCCATTTGCTACAATCCCCACCACTCCCTAGAGTCTCAACCTCAATCTGACTCCACTCATTTATGTGCCCATCTGGTCCACATAAGATCTGAGTTTGAGGCCCTTGGCCTAGATGTTTAATGAAGTTTTGATAAAATTAAGTGTTTTGGTACTCACCTTGTGACTGTCTCGGGTACCTGATTCCCACCAACAGGGCCCCATTTTGGCCTCTGAACTCTCCCCAGGGAGGCTGGGCCTCCCTTTGGGCTGCTCTTGTCTCCTCTCTCTGGCTTCATGTATGAAGGACAGGCCCTCTCGAATTTTGGCAGGGGGACCCTTCTCTGAATAGACCCTCTTGACATCTGGTGGAGACCTTGCACAGTCCCGTGGGTGGCTACCCCATTGGTTCAGGCTGATGTCCTCTCCTCGCCCAATGGATTTCCTTGGGTTCCCTTTCTTCCAGTCAGTGGGGGGTGATTTGGATGACACTCTGACCCCACTGCCTGAATCCTCCCAGCCAGAGAGCTTTGACTCAGTCGGGTAATTCTGACACTTTGCACTGTGATGTTTAATAGCGAAGACCTTTTCGTCATCCTCAGTGATCCCTGAGACTGTCTTCCTAGGACCCACAGGGACTGAGGAGGCTCCTGGATGCTTTTCAGAAGGAGCTGGGTGTGGCAGAGCCCACAGAGGAGAACTGGATTTGGTGTTCGCAGCTGCCACCCGGGTCTCTGCTGGCTGCTTGCCTGAGCCAGGAGTGGAGCTGTGGCTTGTGTCGGTAGTGCTGGCCTGTTTCCAGACACGCTTGGCCTCAGAGACCTCTCTTAGGCTCCTTCTCCTGTGTTCCACCCAGCCTCGAGGGTTTGGCCTCTCACAAGGCAAGCTGTCGGGCTCCCACCATGTTCTCTCCTTCCGCTCCTGAGGCTCTCCGGGGACCCTTGTGGATGGCACCTGGTACTCTGCCATCAGGGCGTCGATGTCCAGAACACTGGACCTGTAGCCATCTCTGTCTTTACCTGGGAATGTCTCACTGACCACATCAGTCTTCCTTCTGCTGGGGTGCTCTTTTGGACGCCGCCGCAAAGGCGGGGTAGTTTGGGGCACACTGCTGCTGGGGGGCATCTTGCTTCCACCATCCTTCCAACCCATCTGAAAGCAAGTACCATTTTCTGATGCCCGGTGACTCCATAATGCATCCACATCAATGATTCTTTCACGAGAAGCAGCTGGAATCCTGTCTCCAAGCAACGACAGACAGTCTGTCGGCTTCAGGTTTTTTGAAATGCTCACATTTTCACGCTCTCCTCCCTTTGCCCAGTGTTTACTGCCCAGCATCTCCTGTGACCCTTCACGGTGAAGAGAAACCAACGTGGATGTACAAGAACGAGGAGACAGAGGTGGAGCAATTTTCCTAGAGCGTTCCAGCAAGTTTTCAGGCCCGGACATAACACTACCCTTGGCCTTCTGAGCACTGGAAATCTGATAGGTCACAGCAAAAAAGGTCGCCTTGGGTTCCACAGGTGACCCTTGCTTCACCACTGAGACATCACGGTCCTGTGAAGCACCTGGGGTCCCCTCCAGCGTCCCCACCCCGTGGTGGGTCAGCTGGGGTTTTTGTAAGGCACCGGCTACAGGGTCCCCACAATCTGATGGCTTCTGCTCCTCCCTCAGAGAGTGCTCCACAGGGAGGAGGCCAAATGCATCGAACTTCACATCGTGGGGCAAAGTCCGCCGCCTCCATCTGTCCGTCCTGGGGTCAGGGGAGCTGGCCTTCTGCAGGTGGACTTCAGGACCTGGGTCAGCCCGGCCCTCAGCCGCCACCAGGGGCCCCTTCTTCACACATGTGTCTAGTGCGGCTCCAGCTCTGGGGTCGGTGGGCTGGTCCTGAGTCCTGGGAGGAGAAGCCCTCACTCCTGCCCCTGGCTTGCTTCTGGCCCCTTCAGACCTGTCCTGCTGATCCCCCCCGACAGCAGCCTCGGTGGCCCTCACGGTGGTGGGCTCAAGGGCGTGGGTCTCATGGCCGGCGCGCACCGTGACCTTCTGCCAGTTCGCCACCAGTTCGGCCGACCATCTGGGCAACGGGCAGCTCCCGCCAGCCTCCAGTGCCCCTCGAGCCTCCCAAACCGAGCTGGCCCTCTGGATGGACTGGACGGACTCCTGGCCCCTTGGGCCGCACTCCGGGCCGGCAGGACCGGCCTCCTGGGACCGCCGGCCCTCAAGCGAGAGCCGGGACCGGCTGTGGAGGGCCACTGCCTTCTCCTCAGGCGCAGTGGGGACGGCCTCGCTGTGCGCGCGCTCCCCGACGGCGGGCACCACGGCGTACCTGGGCTCAACCCTCCGGGGTGTGGGGGGGCCCTCTGAGTGCTTGGGGCCAGTGTGATTTTCACACAAAGGATGTGTCTCCTGGGAGGGTGTATGGCGCCGTCTGGGCTCACCGTTGGCAAGGGCGGCTCTTCCCCGCTTCTCCGGCTCAGGATCTCCCAGCCGCCTGGAGAGCTCCTCCTTGGGGCTGGCCATGTCTGGCAGGTCCCTCCCCAGCCGAGAGCCTCTCTCGGGACCGGGTCTGGGTTCAGAGATGCGGGCCCTGGCCACGTCCTCAGGTGGGGTGGCTGAGAGACAGCAGCCAGACGAGTCAGCCACAGTGTGCCTCTCCACGTGATGCTCAAACACCGTGGCCCGCACAGTCTGGAAGCTTCCATTGGCTTCTGGAGTGCCCTCAGAGAGGCACAAGGCCCCTGCCGAGCTTTTGCCCTGACCACTATCGGGGTCTCGGTGAGGGCTGTCTTTCTGCTCCGTGTGCCTGGCCTTCTCCTGGAGTGTCACAGGCTTCCGGGGGCTTCTCAGGGAAGATGCTCCATCCAAACCATGCCCTTCCTTTTGCTGGAAAGAAAGCAAAAAGCAAAAGAGACAACCCAATGTTAAAGGACTTGAAATTAAAGGAAGAGGTGAGGTGACGCAAATGGTGGCCTGTGTAGCCAGAACAGTAAAATACCATAAACGGTAAAGACCAAACACATCCGGTGAGAGCGAAGATGTAGAGAAATGGACATTCAGCTACTGTTGGAGAGAGCATAAATGGGCATGACTTTGGAGCAACGTGGCATACCGGCCCATCATGATTTTAAAATACTCATTTCCTTTTATCCGGTCAAGTTCCCCCTGGGAACTTTCTTGTCTACATGATCAAGAAAGTTTGTGAAAGCAAAAGAACACAGAAACAACCTGAATGCCTACTGGAAGGGTACTGGCTGAATAAATGTTGATATATCCAGACAACAGAATAATGTACAGGCATCTGTATCCCAGGAAGAGTAGGCCCTAATGTCATGACATCTAAGGACACATTCAAAATATTGTTGTTGGCTGGGCGCGGTGGCTCAAGCCTGTAATCCCAGCACTATGGGAGGCCGAGGTAAGGGGATTGCCTGAGCCCACGGGTTCGAGAACAGCCCGGGTGACTTGGTGAGACCTCATCTCTACAATAAATCAAAAAATTAACTGGGCATGGTAGCGTGTGCCTGTAGATCTGGCTACTTGGAAGGCTGAGGTGGATGGATCATTTGAGCCCAGCAGGTCGATGCTGGGGTGGCTGTGAGTGCGCCACTGCACTCCAGCCTGGGTAGCAGAGTGAGACTCCAAATTAAAACAAAAAACAAAGTGCTCCTCCCTGGAGGAGACAAAAGCACACTGCAGAGCAATGTAACAAGATACCATTTTTAAAAATACTGTGCTTGTGTATGTTTATAGACACACATGGAGATAAGTAGTCTGAAGAAAGGACACAGATCAGACTGTGCAAGTGAGGGGAGTGGTCATGAGGAGGGGGAAAGAATGAAATTGGGAACATCTTCTGTCAATCCTGTGCACCCTGGTTCTATTAGATTTTTATAATAAGCATGTATTACTTAGTAATCATTTTAAAATCCTTTTTTCTATTAGAAATGAGTCTACTTCAATAAGTTAAACATAGAATTACCATATGACCCACCAATTCCACTGTTGGGTGTATATACCCAAAAAGAACTGAAAACAGGCCAGGCACGGTGGCTCATACCTATAATCCCAACACTTTGGAAAGCTGAGGCAGGCAGACTACTTGAGCCCAGGAATTCGAGACCAGCCTAGACAACATAGGGATTTTTTCGTCTCTACAAAAAAATCAAAAAAATTAGCCAGGCATGGTGGCATGTCCCTGTAGTCCTAGCTACTTGAGAGGCTGAGGTGGAAGGATTGCCTGAGCCCAGGAGGTCGAGGCTGCCATGAGGCATGATCATTGTGATCATGCCACTACACTCCAGCCTGGACAACAGAGTAAGACACTGACTCAAAAAAAAAAATTAAAAAATTGAAAACAGATGCTCAAACAAAAATTTGCACACCAATGTCCACACAATTCACTATCACTGAAAGGTGGAAACATGAACATGAACAATGTCCAAAGATGGATGAATAAATAAACAAAATATGGTAATACATACAGTGGAATTATTATTCAGCCACAGAAAGGAATGAAGTCCTGACCTATGCTACAGTGTGGATGCATCAGGAAAACATTATGCTAAGTGAGAGATGCCAGTCACAAAATGCCACAGGTTATATATATGACTACATTTATAGAGAAGATCTTGAACAGAGACCGAAAGTAGATTAATGGATGCTTGAGCCTGGGAAGGGGGGTGGGACTATGAGGCTTTTGTTTGAGGTAATAAAAAATTCTGGAACTGGAGAGTGAGGATGGTTGCACAACACTGAGAATGTACCTGATGCTATGCAACTGTACACTTTAAAAATGGTTATAGGCTGGGCAAGATGGTTCAAACCTGTAATTGCAGCATTTTGGGAGACCAAGGCAAGAGGATTGCCTGAGTCTAGGGGTTCGAGAACAGCCTGGGCAACTTGGTGAGAACTCATCTCTACATCAAAAAATTAGCTGTGCGTGGTAGCACGCGCCTGTATTTCCAGCTACTTGGAAGGCTGAGGTGGAAGGATCGCCAGAGCCCAGCAGGTCAATGTTGGGGTGGCTGTGAGTGTGCCATTGTACTCCAGCCTGGGTGACAAAGTGAGACTCTGACTCAAAAAAATAAAAATTAAAAAATCTAAATGGTTATAATATGGTCAGGGCCACAGTTGCAAAGCACTACTCTAGATGATGGAACATCACTGAAGAATTCTAAAAATATACTGATTTTAAAACTTTGCTTATATATTATCATGTAAAAGAAAGTTTTTTTGAGTCGAGGTCTCACACTGCAACCTGCATCTCCTGGGCTCAAGCAATCTACCCTCCTCAGCCTCCCGATCCCGAGTGGCTGGGAGTACAGGCATGTACTATGCCACCACACCCAGTTAATTTTTAAATTTTGTGTAGAGATGAGCTCTCGCTATATTGCCCAGGCTGATCTGAAACTCTTGGGCTCAAGTAATCCTCCTACCTTGGCCCACCAAAGTGTTGGGCTTACAGGCATGACACACTGTGCCTGGCCTGTTTTTCCAACTCTGCAAAGGTTTCTTAAAACATAAAACATGCACCCATCATATGACCCACCATTCTACTCCTAGAAATCTACCCAAGAAGAAAAGAAAATACAAGTCCCTACAAAGCCTTGTCCACAAATATTCATAACAGCTTTACTGGTAATGGCCCCAACATAGAAACAACCCGATCGTCCATCAAAAGGTGATTGGATAAACAAACTATGGCCTACCCATGCAACAAAATACTAACCAGCCATGGACTGGAATGAACTATCATACACACAGATCTCAAAATAAATACTCTGAGTGAAGAAGCAAAGTCAACAAAAGAGCAGTACTTCTATTTGTGCTGAAGTTTAGAAAATGTAAACCTGTCTACAGGGACAGGAAGCAGATCTGTGGTGGCCTGGTAGGGGGGCTGCAAAATGGCATGAGGAAACTTTTGAATGTGATGGTGATATTGTCTTGACTGTGATGCTGTTTTCACAAGTTACACACATGTGGAAACTCACTGGCTTGCATGATTTACACTTGTCCTCTTCACGGTGTGTCATTTGTAGCTCAGTGAAACTGCTTTACAAAACAACTAATACTGCAGAAAGCATCGACCACAAATCAGTTATACCTAGCAGCTATTTTACAAGCTTTCCTTTACTAAACAGATGAAATAAAAATACTTCTTAAGCAATTTAACTGGTAAGTTACCTCTTTCTTCTACAGGAGGGCTGGTCAAGGTGGGGAAGGGAGTAAGAACCACAAGAGGAGTTGAGGGAGTTTCTGTGAACACTTGAATCCTACATTTTATTTATTTATTTTTATTTATTTTATTTTTTTGAGTCAGAGTCTAATTCTGTCGCCCAGGCTGGAGTGCAGTGGCACGATCACAACTCACAACAGCCTTGATCTTCTGGGCTTAGGTGACCCTTCCATCTCAGCCTCCCAAGTAGCTGGGACTACAGGTATGCGCCACCACACCCGGCTAGTTTTCTTATTTTTTTGTAGAAACAAGGTTTCACTATGTTACCCAGGCTGGCCTTGAACTCCTACCCTCAAGCAATCTTCCTGCCTTGGCCTCTCAAAGTGCTGGGATTACAGGATGAACCCTGTGCCCAACTTAAAATCCACATTTTAGTGTCTTCATTTTAGTGTCTTCACTCTTACATAAACAAGGCATGCCCTCCTGCCTCTTTGCAAAGAAAAAGATAAACACTTGACGATTACATTGGTAAACAGCATTTAACACCCCAGGGTGGGGAACCACAACCCATGATGCTAGATGGGACTTTGGGGAAAAAAGTTTTACCGTGCATGACAGGTTTAGGATTCTTCCCTAGTAGGATCATGGATGCTTTTTTCCCAGTGGAACTGCCCACTGGAATAGATGTGCCCAGTGGCCACAGCTTACCTTTTCTCTCGGTTCCTTAGGAAACTCGATGCCCAGCTCTGCACACTTCTCATACTTGACTTCGTTGCTTGAAGGTGAACTTGAAAACCTGGTACAGAGACCTGAGTTACTCGTATGGAGCCAGGAGCTGGGATTCCCCCAGCCCGCACTATAACTCAGGAGCCCAGGGGTAAATCATCCCGAACCTCGTGAGAGTCACACGGGCTGATGCTGAGGAAGGACATTTTCTTCCCAGCTACCCGAAGAAGAGCCTGGTGGGGAAAGCCTGGTGGGGAGAGCCTACCTTAAACACAGCATCATCGGGGGGAAGGAGCCCCAGGCTGAGGGCAAACAGGGTGCTGGTCCCAGCTCTCCTGCCTCCTCACTGGGGAAGCTTGGCTTGGGCTTGTGACCTCACCTGAGCCTCTGTTTCCTCATCTACAAAATGGAGTTAATTAACACCTCCCCGTGCCTTTTATAGGGCAGATAAGAGGCTACCCATAGCTCTAATAGCTACATGAGGGCGTTTAGAAAGAGTGAAAATGCCCCAGGAGGGCTAATGAGGGGTTGCTGTTAGCAGCCCCAGGAACAACAGCTGCCCCGCCTCAGAGCAGCCCAGACTTGGTGGCAGTGAGCGGCCACGGAATGTGTAGGGGTCCAGGTCTGCCTCTCTGGGTGACCAGGGCCCAGTCACGGCCCCTTGGCCTCAATTTCCCCACCTGTAAAGGGGAAGAGTGAGAGGGGCTAGAATCTTTCCACCACTGAAGAGTTCTCTAGTGTGAATGTCTGAACCCATGCTGGTTCAGGTCTGGGGGCTTTGAAGAAAGAGGGGGGAAAAGAAATGGAACCATTCAGACTTGACCCACACTCCGCAATCCAGGGTCTGCCTCCTGGGAGGCGTGAGGCTGAGAGGTCCTGTCCGAACTTGAAGCCCCAGCTTCCCCATCTGCTGGATGGGAATAATCACACAGCCTCTCTGAGGCACTTTGAGGACCCCGTGCCAGAAAGCATATGAGGTCCCCAGCATAGATGTTCCTTCCTCTGTTATCTTCACGTAAGGGTTCTCAGGCCTGTCTGCACATGAGGTGTTTAACAACTACCAGCATATGAGCCCCTCCCCAGACCAACTGAATGAGGATTTCTGGGGGCGGGGCCCAGGCATCAGGATTTTTTCCAGGTGATTCTTGTGTGCCAAGAGCTGCTAGTCTGGCTTTGGCCGGGCCGTCCTGGTTCCCAGGACTGGGAGGGCAGTCTGCCCAGAGATCCTCCCCTGCATGTTCCACCCCAAAGTATGCTGGTGGCATGCATGTCATTAATGAGCCAGTTGATCATGCCCAGTGGCATCTCTCTGTTATGGTCATTTGTGGGAAAACAAAGAAGAGATGCCAGAGGTGGGCCAAGCTAAGGAAATCACTACTAACTGGACTCATATCAGCCTGAGCCACAATGTGCTGAGGGCTCCCGTGGGCAGAAAAATTTCCAGCATTATCTCTGCATTTCCACCTCAATCCTTTAAGGAAGGTCTCAGTATTAGTTTCATTTTCAAAACAAAGACAGATTTACTCAGTCTCAGTGAGTGGCAGTGACTTGCCCAAGTTATCTAGACTCCTGTGATTTTATCTTGGGGGACACTTATCGTAAGCAATCCTTCCAAGTAGCCGGAACTAGAAACACGCCTGATCTTTGTTTCATTTTTGAGATGGGATCTCACTATATTGCCCAGGCTGGTCTCAAACTCCTGGGCTCCAGTGATCCTCTTGCCTCAGCCTCCTGAGTAGTTGGGATTACAGGAGCATGCCGCCCTGCCCAGGTCAGGCCCAATGCTAACTGTTTTATTACTTTAGGGAAGGAAGGCGTGGCTACAGAGACAGGCTGGGCTGGAATGAAATCTGGCTCCCAACTCCTTCCCAGGACTTCACCTTTCTGATCGGCATCTGTGAAATGGGCAGGTACCTTCCACTTCACTCACAGAGTGTGAGCAAAACTGAGAAGGGTCAAGGAAGTCGAGCTCCGGGCCCCACTGCTGGCCACACCTGGAGAAGACCTGCACTCCCTCCACACCTCACCTTCCTCATGTGAGAAATAGTCACTACCACCACCTCCTCTCAGGGCTAAGGGAAATAGAGGAGCGTCAGGTGCCCTGCACAGAACCTGATGCCCTGTGGTTCCCGCTCCCTCAAGGTCTCTAGGGGATGGCTTGAGGCAGGCAGGGGCTGAGGGAAGTGATTGGGGTGTGCCCACTTACAATTTAGTCAAATCCGCTGACAGCGGCCGAGATGGTGACAGAGCCTGGACCGGGCTCCTCTTGACCTTGGGCTTTGCTTCGGGGCTCTCAGCAGCCCAACATTTGATCCGCTCCAGGACGCTCACACTGCCTTTCTCGGGCTCTGGCACCCTCAGGGGGAACACAGGGGTGGCCTGGGGGGTCTCACACCCCACTGCTGCTGCGGAGGCCAGGGCATTCTCCTCCACAAACAGGCTGATGCGCTTCCTGACGCTGCCCCTGGAGGCCCACTCTGCCCTGGCTGGGGCCTCCCCATCGGACACTCTGCTCTTGACCTCAGCGAGTCCTGGGCCTCTTCCTGACCTGGGTGACCGTGAAAGGGGCTCGGGCACCTTCTCTGGCTCCCGGTCCAACTTGGTTTTTGGTTCCCAGGGACTCTGGTCATCTCTGGGGGCAGCCCTGGTGGAGCTCCCCGGGGCTCTGGGGCTGCCTGTCTCCTGTTTTGAAAGCATCTTCTCTCTCCGTTTGTGGATTTTCTTGGTCACCTCCTGGAAGTCTGAATCCGGGTCACAAAGGGGAGCCTCTGCCTTGGCCAAAGACTCCCTGTCCATCTTGGGCTCCAGTGGGGCCCTGTCTAGCCCAGCAGTGGAGCCTGCCATCAATATGTTTTCCTCGTCAGTCACCTTTCTCAGCAAGGTCTCTCTGCTCTCAAACCGGGCCGTGAGATCCATGGACAGAGGTCTGGGCTTCCTCCATGTCTTCTCAGGAGGTGTTGGGGGCACCTTCCCCACCGTGGCCACCCCACCAAAGCCCAGCTTCTGGGGCTGAATGGATTCGGTGAAAATGGCTGATGCGGGCCTTCTCTTTGGATGAGGCCTGGGCTCTGGCGTGGGCCCTGCTGTATCCTCTACACTGCTGGCCTTTGAGAGAGGCTGGTCTTGGTTTGCAGCCTCGTGGGCCGCAGGTGGCCTTGTGTCCTGGGACAGGGAGGCTAGTCGGGGAAGGGTTGCCACAGGCTTTCTGGCGGGTGGAGCAGGCTTGGTGGCCACTTTGGGCTGGGAGCCTGAAGGCGGCTCCTGAAATGCGCCTGCCATGGCCTCCTGAGTCCCCTTGCTGACTCCCTTCCCCAGAGTGGGGCCGGTTTTGGTGGTTTCAAAGAGAATCATAGTATTGGGGCTGGGCCGCAAGAACGCGGTCTTGCTGAACACAGACGAGCTTCTCCTTGGGCCCTCCCCACTACCTGCCTCCTGTCCCACCAAACCAGGCATGCTCTCGTCCAGGTCCTTTGCTGCCACCTCCTCGGAGGGCCCTCCAGAAGGACACGGCCCGGTCAGACCGGGCCGAAGGGGTGCGACAGGGACTTTCACGTCTGGGGCCTGCTCCCTGGAGAAGGGTTTTGGGGTGAGCTGTAGAGGGAACAAGCGAGCCGGGCTCCTCAGGGGTCTTTTTCCTTCCAAGATCAGGGCTGAGGGAACCCCCGAGGCATCACCAGCAGGGCAGAAGTAGGTCCGCTTCAGGGCCTCCTCCTTGCCGATCTCACCCAGGACTGGCACCGCGGACAGGGACGTTATGGAGCCAACCTCGACTCGCGTCACCATGGTTACGGCTGTGGATCCATGAGGATTAGGAGCATTGGAAGTGGAGAAGCAACTGCTCATAAGAAATGAAAGGAAAAACCGGTCAGTGTGTGGGTTGAGGCAGAGTGGTTTGAGGGAATGACACAGAGAGACCTGAGTCCCAGATTCTGGACAGTGGCCCCCCAGTGACTTTTCCAGGCAGGCTTGGACCTGTTTTTCCACCCCTCTGAGCTCTTGGGGAGGGGAGTGAACTGGACAGCTGTCTCTGAATCTCTTTACAGCTCAAAGGGTATGGAGAAGGTGCCAACACTCCCCAGAGGGCTCTCCCAACTCGGCTGCTCTTGAGGGGAGCTTCTATGGTAAAAGTTATTATCTCTGCTGTACAGATAAAGAAATCAGCCCGGAGAGGCAAAGTAACTGGCCCAGAGTCACTCCAGAAGCAAGAGGCTAAGTCAGGATTCGATCCCAGGTCTGACGCCAAACTTATCTCACATACTCCCTGCGTAAGCCCCAGTGGGCGCTCCCACACTCCTGTCACCCCAATGACTTTCCTCTTAAAGAGCCTGCCCATATCCAGGCATCAGATGATGCTTATCCCAACCCTGTGCTGAGCACCAAGCATAGAGAAGACACGTGTCCAGCCGCAGCTCACATAGAGACTCCAAGCAGGAGTCCCTGGGGTGACAAAGCACAGTAGTGAACCCTTGGCTCGGGCACCAGCCCCACCAGATCATCCCTCTGTCTCTGGTCCCTTTTCTTTCCCTCCCAACCCTTCGAGATGCCATTTTTTAAAAGTCATCGATTTTCCCACTCAACCTGCTGTTGTCATTTGTTTGCCTTTGTTTTCTTTTCTGTTAGATTTTATGCTGGATGCCTTCATATTCTTTTTAAACTTTTTTTTTTCCGAGTTGGAGTCTCACTCCATTGCCCAGGTTGGAGCACAGTGGTAAGGCCACTCCAGCGTCGACCTGCTGGGTTCCAGCGATCCTTCCGCCTCAGTCTTCCAAGTATCCGGAACTACAGGCACACACTACCATGTTCGGCTAATTTTTTTATTTATTATAGAGATGAGGTCTCTCCAAGTTGCCCAGGCTGTTCTCGAACCTGTGGGCTCAATCCTCTCACCTCGGCCTCCCAAAGTGCTAGGATTACAGGCTTGAGTCACCATGCCCAGCCAACTTTTTTTTAAATTAGAAAAATTTTTTTAGAGAAAAGGTCTCACTCTGTTGCCCAGGATGGAGCGCAGTGGCATGATCATAGTTCACTGCAGCCTCCAACTCCTCAGCTAAAATTATCCTCCTGCCTCTGCCTCCTGAGTAGCTAGAACTACAGGTGCATGCCACCATGTGCAGTAAATTTTTTAAGAACTTTTTTTGTAGAAACGAGGTTTTGCTATGCTGCTCAGGCTGGTCTTGAACTCCTAGCCTCAAGTAATCCTCCCACCTCCGCCTCTCAAAGTGCTGGGATCACAGGCATGAGCCACCGTTCCAGGCTGCCTTCATGCTCTTAATGAAAAGTAATGGCCTCCAGTGAGGGCTCACCATGAATAAGACCACAAACTTCGTTTGTTTTGGGAGGCTCACCCTCCTTGCATCCCATTTTGCAGTGGCTCAGGGCACAAGCCCATTGTGCACCCAAGCGGGAGCCCTCCTCTCTCATTAATCCTCCAACAACCTGAAAGGCAGGAGGGATCCTCCTTCCTTTATGCAAAATTAAGGGGAAGAGCCTAGAGAGGTCGCCACACTTGTTTATAACACACAGCTGACAGCTGACCTTTCAAAGCCTCAATCCACTGGATCCTGGCTTTTAAAACATTATTCTCGAGCTGGGCTCCGTGGCTCAGCCTGTAATCCCGCGCCTTTGGGATTGCCTGAGTCCGTGGGTTCGAGACCCGCCTGGGCAGTGAGACCTCATCTCTAAAATAAATCAAAAAATCAGCCGGGCGTGGTAGCGCATGCCTGTAATTCCGGCTACTTGAAGGCTGAGGCAGAAGGATCACCGGAGCCCAGCAGTTCGAGGCTGCGGTGGCCAGGAGGAGCCACTACACTCTAGTCTGGGTGACAGAGTGACACTCCAACTCAAAAAATATATATATATATTCTTTTATTCCTTTCCGGTCTTACAAAGTGCCAGGCGAGTCACTGTTCTTGATCCCCTGGGCTCCTTTCACACCAGTGTTTTCTGTCCCTGAACAACGGCCCCTGGTTAGCCCCCACCTAGATGGACTAAAACAGGAGAAGGTATTTTCGCTTCCTGCAAGCCTCCGGCTTCCCTTCCTCAGGACCTTGTGCAGCTCCCCTGGCTCTGACTCACTCAGCAGACTCCAGGAGAGAAAGGCAGGCAGATGTTGGTATTTTATCCTCCTTATGTGCTCGTTGGTGCTAACAGATTCCATCTCCCCAGCCCGGAAAACACTGTCTAGACACGGTTAGAGGCAGAAGAGAGGGACAGATCCAGAGAATCCGAGAATTGGAGAACTTCCACCTGCGGAGACCCCAGGCAGAATCTGAAGACCCCAGGTAGGATCTGACCCAAAAGCAGGGCTGGCCACCTTTAGGGCCAGCCCCTGCGATCTTTTGAAACCCTGCTCGGGACACAAATGTAGCCCGGGTATAAGACACGGGAGAATGGCAGGATTTGAAGCCCAGAGAGAAAATCCCCTGGCTGAACACACAGGCTCCCTCCACCCACGGAGCACCCCAGCCCCAAGTCCAGGGCAAGCTCGGGCCCCACTTACCCAAGCTGGCAGGCCCTGGGTTGAGGGGTGTGACTGCCAGGGAAAGCCAACAGTGTCACATCTCATCACGAACAGGACTGTCCTCACACTCCCATGGCAGCACCGGGTGGGGGAAGGCAGGCTCGTCCCAGCAGGTCTGGGAAAACACAGGACATACAGGCTCGGTCCTGGAGTTCCGGCAATATGTGAACAGACGGCGCAAAAGCTTTGAGTTCCAACTGCATCCGCCGGTGTCTCCTCCAGCTTGTACAACTTATGCTCCTTTTGGTTTTTCAATTTTGTAGCCTTATATATATGTGTGTGCATGAAAAATGCTGAATCCACAGTAGGTGCTCAATAAAAAGCTTCCCTGGTTCTTAGATACATGTTTAACCAACACCTACCCTATGTACAAGGATGAGTGAAAAGTACTCCCTGCACCCATGGAACTCACAGTCTTCTGTAAGAAACACACACACACACACACACACACACACACAATTTCAACACCATTGTAGTAAATGTCATGGTTTTTAACAGGGGGTGTGGGAGCTCATAAAGAGGAGGATTAACTGCCTGGGATTGGGAGTGAGGGCCCTGGACGACTCCTCTACTTAGCGGAGGAGGTCACTGCTGAGTCATCAAGGTGCTAATTTCCCTGTTCAGCAGGACTGGGACACTGCATTTCTTGGAAGTCCTCAGACGCCTGCCCAGGGCCTCTGCACATGGCACGCCTGCTCTGGGGAACACGCTTCTTGTTTGCACGCAGACCCAGGCCCACCCCTCAGACCACAGCTTGGGGGTCTCTGTCGCCATCACCTGCTACTTCTCCCTCTCACAGGTTCACGGAAGACACTCGACAGGAGTCAGCGCAGCCACCCGGTTACATCCAGTGGGGCATGATCCTTCAAGACACATCAGTCGTTCTCATTCAGTGGGAGGCCCCTGGAGGGTGCCCAAAGTTCCCAGCAGCGAGCACAACGGTCTGACACATAAAAGTCCCAAATACATGATCACTAGGTGGATAAATAAATGCTGAGCAGATAGAAAAATGAACAAAGAAACATCTTTTTTTTTTTTAAATATTATGCAACCATAAAGAAGGAGAAACATAGGGACTTCACATCTTCTGACCCTACTCTCCAGTCTTCTAAGAAGCTGAGCAGACTGGCTGCCATAGTCTCATGGCAAATGACACTGAGCAATCTGGGACCTGAAGATGTGCTGCTCTCACTATGGCTATGACTACCGGAAGGCAGAGCCAATGAGTTGTGGTGTGCTTAGCTGGAGACTCCACCCACTGAGGCCCCAGAAGTCCCCATCTGTCTACCACGACCATGATCAGACCCCATTCTGCAGGGGCTCAGGGTATGAGCTCCTTGTTCACCCAGCTACCAGATCTGTTCTCTCAAAGCAGGAGCCTCATGGAGGCCACCAGCAGACACCTGCTGCCATGCCATCCGCCTCACAGGGTCACCACAGTGCACCTGTCCAAATGTGCAATGGATGCTTTCCTGCATGGCCTGGCTTCTCCTGGGAAAAGAGTTGCCAAGAGCAAACACCACTGAATCAGGATTAGTGGTTCACAAATGTGGCCCCTTTGGGGTTCCTGAACCCACCTCAGTGTCCACACTACATGAAAGGAAATGGGCAAGTAAGTCTGTCCGTCCACAGACCTCTAACACAGAACAGTGCCTGTGGTGACTGAAATCTGATTTTTTTTTTTTTTTTTTTTTTTGAGTTGGGGTCTCACCCTATCACCCAGGCTGGCGTCAGTGGCATGATCACAGCTCACTGCAGCCTCGACCTCCTGGGCTCAGGCGATCCTTTGGCCTTAGCCTCCCCGAGTAGCTAGGATTACAGGCACATGCCACCACGCCCATCTAATTTTTAAAAAATATTTTTGTAGAGATGAAGTCACCCTGTGTTGCCTAGGCTGGTCTTGAACTCCTGCGCTCAAGCGATCCTCTCGCCTCAGCCTCCCAAAGTTCTGGGATTACAAGCGTGAGCCACCATGCCAGGCCTGTAATCTGCTTTATGGCTCAGATTACCTCTCAAGTTCCCATTTCAAATGCCTTGAAAATACCTGGTATGTAAACACGGCTGCCCAAGTGAATCAATGAATAAACTAGTAAATCACTAAACAAGCGAAAGTAAAAGAAGTGTTAAACTGAATAATATTTTAAAAGTCCTTCCCAGCCCTAGAAATCCATGAGTCTGTTTTCATTTAACCTGCTGTAAAATACACGTAACTGATGTAACTATATGTTTTAAATCCTCACTTTACATGTACCACATATGTTAT